GTTCCTCAGTTCCATCCACCAAGGTCTGTAAACTTCGTCGTGCTTTGTATAGTTTGAAACAAGCTCCTCGTGCCGGTTTGCCAAATTTAGTTATACCATTAGTGACTTTGGATTCTCTTCCAGTGCCTATGATTCTGCTCTGTTTATAAGCAAGACAGAGCGTGGTCTTATTCTTCTCTTCTCTATGTTGATGATATGATCATCACCGGGGATGACACGGTGAGTATCTCTAGTCTCAAGCAGTTCCTCAATCGCGAGTTTGAGATGAAATATTTAGGTTTGCATAGTTACTTCCTCGGCTTGGAAATTTCTCATGATCTTTCTGGTTACTTTCTCATCCAGGCCAAGTATACCTCTGATATCTTGGTTCGTCCTGGTCTTACCAATTGCAAGACTGCTTCTACGCCAATTGATCTTCAGACTCGCACTACAACATATAAGACTTTTGGCGACCAATTATTTTGGTCCCTAAAACTACTATTTTAGTCTCTAAATAGTTTTTGTGACAAAATTAATTTCGTCACTAAAAAAGTCACTAAAAGTGCGTCTAGAAAAGTCTTTGGCGACCAATTTTTGAAAATGTCCCCAAAAATGACAATTAGCGACCAATTTTATATTGTCACAAAATGTTTGATTTTACAAGACTAAACATTTGGTCGCTAATACTTCGTCATAAAATGTCCCAATTTGGTCGCAAAAAACAAAATAATGACACTTTTAACGACTATGATATTTGGTCGCTAAAAGACATAACTTTCTCTACAACACATTTTCGTCGCTAAAAATCAAAGTTAAATTTTGTAATCATACAAAATATAAATGTCATCCAATCATATTAAAAAAACATTGACATTCACATATCAAACCCACCCTATTCCCAAACCATAATGAGTATATAGAAAGTAAATTTGACAAAAATTAAAACTGAAAGTTTCCAAATTCAAATCGAAGTAGTAACAGTTCAAATGAAGAATAGCAACAATAGTTTCTTCAAAGAAAATATCTAAAAAAACATTTTCTCATCATCAATATCAGGCTTTATATCAGATAGGCTTGGCACAAGAGGCTTCAAGCTGTACTTAGGTGTGACACCCTTTGGACATTCCTGCAACCCAAAATTCAAAAAGAAGAATCAAGTAATAAGAATCAACACAACATAACCTCATTAAATAATCAATAGTCATTCATAATCAAATAAGTTACCAATAATGAAAAAACACGTTACCTCAGTGTACTTGAAGTATTAGTGAGCTATAATAAGAATCAACACAAGAAGAAAGTGAGTCACCTAGAATCAACACAATAAGGTTATCATAATCCAAGCACGTTATCATAATCAAATGTTCTAAATAACAAACACACTAAATTTATAACTATGACTCAAATTCGGTGGTGATAGATGCTTGACGGGTTCTATCAATGACAGTAATAAGGTAGATCAGATAGACAAAAAAATAAAAACAAACTTAAATGTATGAGCAACAAACATAGAATAATCCAAAACTCAGAGAGAGAGAGACCTGTTATAATAAGTAAGTGTGAGGCGATCAAGCATCTCGCCAGCATTTCTGCTGGAATTATCCATGGCAGACATCCTTGCTCCTTGCTCACTACAAGCGTTCTCCAAAATTGCATTGAACATAACCTGTGAAAATTGTCAAATTTTGTTTCCCATTAAACAAAGCTTGGAATTGATAAATCTAACTACAAACATCTTTTAGCTACATGAAATGTCAGTACAAGCCCAACTCCACAATCATTAAAAACGTAAAACGGAGAGTCTACTTCCAATGATTAATTGTCCATATATGTACTCAATTGTTATATGAACCACACAAACTTGAGAATTGAGTTAAATTGCACTAACACCCAATAAAATCACATTTTAGTAAAAGAAAAAGGATTAAAGATCTAAAATAAAAATATTAGAGTACAACTTAAATAGCAACTCCTATGATTTCCTTTTAAGAACACAACCACCTCTTGTTATTTCCTTCAATCTTTTGAGTGCAATGCCAGCAGCATCCAGGTTTTCTGACAGGTGAGACAGCCCCCAGCAAACCGAAGATTGCATTGATGTGAATGGTGGAAAAGCCTTATTACCAGAACGCAGTTTGGATAGGAGCAGATGCTGCTTTTGGTCACATTGCATTGGGAGGCATGCATCAGAACATCTAGTATTTCCCTCATCTGCACCACCAGATCATAAAGTTGTTAAATCTAGAAAACCGATGTGATATTCTCCAACCAGAGGAAGTGAGCAACAAGTGACCAAGGAAGCACTTGGAGACTATTCAAAGTAGAAAATATAAACTAGAAAACCCATGTGATATTCTCAAACCAGAGGAAGTGAGCAACAAATGACCACTAGAAGGTCAAAAGATTGATATTTTGTTTGAACCCAAGAATAGACTATGGGCAAGTGAGAAGCATTAAAATCTGACATCAGGGTTTTAACTTCTATAATCTTGTGATTAAGCTTTTTCTTTAAAAGTTAAAATGTATATTTAAATATTTCTCCATACCTGCGTAGATTTCTGCTGCTGAGTCTGTCCATTCTTTGACCCACAATTAACAACGGATGAACATTGACTTAATTTATGAATATGACAATCATCACCTTTTCTATGATAGCATCCATCACAAGCATCAAACCTTGGACAGATCTCACAGTGCCATCCCTGATTCACCACAATATCCTCATGGCAAATGCAGCAGCTGGTCCCAACACTTTGCTTGGTTGGATTATGGAGATAACAAAGGATCATCATTGAGGAATGCTTGACATGGCGAAGGGTATCAAACTGATAATGATTTCCTCGACAGAAGCTTAAGAAGGAGTGCCGATTCTCAAAGTAACCATTATCTATAATAACATCTGTATCCTCTGTATTAACAGGCACATCCTTCACTACAACCTGAAGAGCATAGGAGCATATATGTAAAAGCGGAATCTAACTGAACAAGACCATGTACCAAAAGTGCTTTATTAACTAGAGTATGCATGGAAATTTTTTTGTACAAAAACACTCATAACTACAAAAGCTTCTTCCTCTCTAAACATTATTTAATACTTTCATATATACCATGGTATTATATTTTTGACTAATAAAAATCTATATCACACTAATTGGGTTATTTTTTATCTCCTAACTAATCAGCAGTCGGCATGTCAAATCTGTAAAATTTTCTATTATGATAATACTGTAAAAGTGTGGAAGCTTTCTAATGGAGTTTGGAAGATGGATTGCTTCCCTGCTCTTCAAATGCATACTGATTGGGTCAGGGATGTTGCTTGGGCACCTAACTTAGGACTCCCTAAATCCACAATTGCAAGTGCTTCACAGGATGAGAGAGTCATTGTGTGGACTGTGGCGAAGGAAGGGGATCAATGGGATGGTAAGGTTTTGAAGGATTTTCAGACCCCTGTTTGGAGGGTCTCTTCGTCGCTCACTGGAAACATACTGGCCGTGGCTGATGGGAAAAACAATGTAACATTGTGGAAAGAAGTAGATGGAGAATGGCAATAGGTGACAACAGTTGAGCCGTAAAGCTCAAGCCCCCACCCCTTTTTTCTCCTGATTATAGTTCAATACTTTGCTTGAAATTGAGGGTCCTAAGACAGTCAAAACTTTTAGTCTTTCTAAGAAGTCAGTTGCATGATATGAAGGTTTATGAATAATTTTTCCCTGATAATTACTGCTCACCTGAATGTTTACAATATACTTCTCAATATCTGGTTTAAAGATTTGTTTGCCAGGTTGTCTGCTCATGACAACCTGAAACTCATGTGCATTTTACATTGAATGTGGATAAAATTTCTGCAATGTGAAGGTGTACCCGAAAATTGCTAATCTGAAGAAGCTTTTAAATAATGGTGGTATTTGCAATGAGAATTTTTTAAGGGAAATATACTGGATAATATAGCAAGTATACATAATTGTGTCTCGTAGTGCATGGAGATATTTTAAGCGCTGACAATCTTATTTATCAAGTTCTGATTTCTTAAATGATCTGTTTGTTTGGCACTATTATAATGCAATTCTGTTTGAGGCGTAGATTTCATTATTGATTTATAACAAAAATGGAAAAACTAATCAGAGAATAGATGATATTCTTGTGTCATTTTTCTCTTACGCATCCCTAATTCTTCATCTCCAACACGCATTAGATTAGACATACATATATACACACACACAAGTTCAATCTATGCAAACAATTGTTCAATTCCAACAAGCATTAAGATAAGAAACAAGTTCAGTCTCTGCAAAACACAGATTGAAACACAATAAGAAATTGAAAGTACAATAAACAGGTCGATTACGGAGATCGGAGATCGATTACGATAAACAGAGATTGAAACACGATAAGAAATAAAGTAAGACATAGATTGAAACACGATAAGAAATTGAAAATACAATAAACAGTTCAATCTATGTAAAACACAGATCGATTACGATAAAAAATTGAAAGTTCGAATTGGAGCTCTTACAGGTCGATTATGCAGATCGATTACGGAGAGAGAGAGAGAGAGAGAGAGAGAGAGAGAGAGAGAGAGAGAGACGCACCAAAATTTGAAGATTGAGCTCCCAATCTGCCTTGGAGCTCCCGACTTTAGGGCTGAAGATTGGGCAAACCGAGGTGCGAGAGATTGAAGATTGACAATTGAAGATTGAGCTCAATCTTCAATTGTTAATTGAAAAACGACTATTAATCTTCAAATGTGGAGCTCAATCTGACTTGGAGCTCTTACAGGAATGAAGATCAATTACGGAGGGAGAGAGAGAGAGAGAGAATGAGCAAAAGGGCTGAAGTGAGAATGAGGTCCCGACTTTTCAATTGTTAAAATAATGAAAGTAATTGCTCTCAAATTGTTTTTAATTGATAATGGCGAAAATATTTGGTCCCTAAATGTTAATAATATATTAGCAACCAAATTTATTAGTCTAAAAAATTTATGTAAATATATTAGCAACCAAATTTATTAGTATAAAAAAATTATGTCAATATTAAGTGAGAATATTAATAATCATTTTTACAATCTTGTAAGTAAATTATTATATGTTTAAATTTATCCCTAAAAGATTATTTTTAGCGACCAAATTTAATTAGTCTCTAAATATTAGTCTCTAAAGGACTAATTTCTTGTAGTGTCGTCTCACACCTCTTGACGATCACCTGTTGTTTGATGCTACCTTATATCGTCAGCTAGTTGGCAGTCTTGTTTATCTCATAGTTACTTGTCCAGACATTGCCTATGCTGTTCACATTGTCAGTCAGTTCATGGTTGCTCCTCGCTCTTCATACTGTGATGCTTTGGTTCACATTTTGCACTATCTCAAAGGAACTATGTTTCATGGTCTGCACTACTTAGCACACTCATCTCTACAGTTATACGCATTTTCTAATGCAGATTGGGTAGGGGATCCTACTGATTGCTGTTCTACTATAGGATTCTGCTTCTTCTTGGGTGACTCTCTCGTTGTCTGGCATAGCAAGAAGCAAACTCTTGTTGCTCATTCTAGTACTGAGGTTGAGTATCGTGCTCTTGTTGACACTGCTTAGGAGCTTGTGTGGCTTCGCTGGCTTCTTTTTGATATGGGGGTTTCTCATTCTACTGCGATTAACCTCTATTGTAATAATCAGAGTACTATTCATATTGCCCATAATGATGTCTTCCGTGATCGCACAAAGCATATTGAGATTGATTGTCACTTCATACAACAAAATGTTACTACTGGCACTGTTCATCTTATCTTTATTATCTCCACCGATTAGACAGCAAACATCTTCACCAAGGTTCATTCTCCTGGTCATTTCAATGATCTAGTTTCCAAACTCAAGTTGGTTGATGCTTACCCACCTTGAGTTTGAGAGGGGCTATTAATGTATATTATATTATACTTATCTATTTGTATCTCTGTCCCTATCTTGTATCTCTATCTCCATCTCCTTGTATCTCTATCTCTCTCTCTTTGTGTCTCTATCTTCTTCTATACTTATCTAGGTTTCTTTTCAACCTATATATACAGACTTCTCCTATTGTATTTTTCATTCAATTCAATAATACAGATACATAATTTTTCCTTTATTTCAACCATTCTAACACTTATTATGGGCACAACGATGATTTAAACTATTTGTCTCATAAAGTGAAGATCATTTATATAAAAAATTAATTTCATCGATATCGATAAATAGATAAATAAATCACATTTTATTTTGTAAAATGATTTAGGTTTGAACTCATAGTTGTCGTCTATTTTAAAAAATAAAAATGGTTAATTACAGTTTTCTTCCCTATAATTTTATCTAAATTCCACTAAGTCTCTACAATATCAAATTGAATAATTTGGCTTATACATTTTAAGTTCAGTTTCAATTTAACTCTTCCGTCATTGAGGTTAAATTTAACAACTTTGGAACACTTGTCAATTTTTTAAGGAGACATACATAATAATAATAATAATAATAATAATAATAATAATAATAATAATAATAATAATAATAATAAAAAATTAAAAATTAACAAAAAATTGGACATAAGAACTAAATAGAAACTAGGCTTAAAGTGTAAGAACTAAATTGTTCAATTTAAAACTATAAAGATTAAAATAAAATTTGGATCAAACTACAAGAATGAAAAATGTAATTAACCCAAAATAAAATGTAATTCGTATATGTATTTAGTGACGTATGATGAAATTGATTTTTTACAAAATTTATTTTTACTTAGAATTGAACTGTTTGAATCATCGTTGTGAGTATGGATGACAATTTCTATGAACCCACTCTGCCCCCACCTCCCTTGCCTCATGTAAGTTTTGTCCATCCTGATGAGGAATGGGGAGGGGCTGGATTTTGCTCCCCCATCCTTACCTCAATTGTTTTTGTTAAACATATTTTTATATACATAATATGTATATAATTTATTTTTTTAATATACTAATATTTATTTTCTTCATTTAATTATCATATTGCATCTTTTAATTCCCATTAATTATAAATTATTATCTATAATATATTATATTATCTTAATTTTTATTAAGTTTTTTCTATTTTTAAAGTTACAAAATTAACCCATCTCTTGTCCCATATGTCTGACCCTTGTATGATACGGGCCAAAAGCAAATGCGGGAGATGACAAACCCATCCCAAACCTATCCCTTTGGCATTCCTAATTGTGGACCTAGAATGAGACACACAAAATATATTAGAAAGATGTATAGAGATAATGGTATAGATAGGGGACCTATTCTCTATTAAATGGTACATACCAAAATCTATAGATCAAAAGATAACATCCCATTAATGGCTGAAGGTTCATGGATGTCTATAAATTGATGTATCAACTTGATTGAATAGTGAAGAATTTGAAGAGAGTAAAAGAAAGAGATATAGAGAAAAAGAGAGAGGACAGGATATACAAAATGATCGAGAGAAATGTTAGGATGATGGTGGTGGTGATGTTAATGATGATGGTAGTAGATGCAAATGTTGATGGGGCTGAGTATAGTGCAGAATGTCGAAAGTGTGAAACAGAGTGCCTAGTTAAGTTTGGAGACCCAGCATGTCGTGTTAAGTGTCTCAAACTATGCTTTGGAGGTCCTCCATCTTCACCCAAGAAGGATGCATTATCTGATATGCAACACTTACATCTCTGGTAATTTTACCAACCCCAAATTATATCGGTAGTTCTTATATTAAATTTATGATTTAGTCTAATTGATTATAATTTTCAGTAGTTTTTGATTGAAAATGTGTACATATGCAGCATATGTCATAGTTTTATAGGCAAAATTGTTAATTTGTTCAACTTAATGAGTTAATCTCAACTTACTCAATGACCATTTTTCTTTAAAAACTCTAGTCGGCGTTATCATCAATTAGATCAAATTGACACAAAATCTAAAATTAAGTGTCAAAATCAAATTAATTGATGTCATACGAATCAAAATGATATAAGGAACAAAATGCAGGAACTACCAATATAATTTACCTATTTACTAACCAAGCCTCTCTCTCTCTCTCTCTCTCTCTCTCTCTCTCTCTCTCTCATTTTTACATTCAAGTTTACATGTAATGTATAAGTACTTGCAAATTGCAATAGTAAGTAAATTCTCTTTGATTTATTATTTAGGAAAATTACAAATACACTATTAAAATTTGCTTGATTTACACATGCATAAACATAATACTCTATTTTTGTGATTCTTACGAGATTTGTTATTGTTGCAGATTTGAAGAAATTTGAAACCTGCTCAAAATCATGCGCGCTTGATTGTCTCAAGCAATACTAGTAGTTGCTTATGAAGTTTAGTTAATTCTATGAGAAAATATGATCTATAAATGTACCTAGAGATGCAATGTTAAATTTTAACATATGCCTCATCAATAATAATAAAAAGTTTCTTCCATAATCTACTAAAACCTTGATGCTAATGGGCCTTGTGAACTAAATTGTGTTTCAAAACACATTGTTAGCTATATATACTGGTAGGGCTTATTTCCAGCTTATTTCAACTTTTAGCTTAATTTAAGTTATTTTGATGTGTTTGGTTCAGCTTAACAATACAACTTATAGCTTTTTGTAAGCCAAAAATCAACTTATTCTTTGAGTGGGGGAGGAGAAGCTTAATTTAGAAGTAAAAAATCAGCTTATGTTCATAGCTATAAGCTGTTAGGCTATAAGTTATAATCACTTTCGCACAGCTCTACCAAACGGGGCCACTATTCGGTTAAGTGATCTGTCAGCTTATATACATATATAAAAAATTTTAAAAAATAAAAAATTGTCAAAGAGTACATCTATTGATCTTTCTCTCCTAGAATTGAAAAGTATCCGAATATTATATCTCTATTGCTATATTTAAACAAAGATTAAAAAAAAAAAGAAAATGAAATTATTTATACATGTTCATTTTTATGAGTAATTACCCAAATAATGGGTTATTTTAACAATGATCTATTTGTTATCTTCTCATTTTCAGAACTCAATCAAATAAAAGGAATACATAATAATCAACAGATTCGAACCTTATGTTTGATTGTTTTGCTCATGTGGTTTCAAAAACTCACTTGTTAAGTATAGAGTCCTTTTATTCCACCTAAGTCCTACTCAAGTCCACTTTTAGGTCTAAAATTCAATGTTAATTTGAAAGTGATTGACTTTACAATGTTAACATGAACACCAAATGATTGATTTGGCAATAAAAAATGCTATGTAATGAGAATTTCTCAAAAATTGTTCTAAAAGTGATGTGGGCTACTAATGAATGTGGTCCATTGATATGATTTTCTAAATATTTTTTGAAATATTTTTTTGGGGGTAAATTATAGTAAACTCTCTTAAATTATAACTCATTTGCACTTTGCCTTTGAACTTTAAAACTCAACAATCAATCACCTCAAAGTATTATCTTGTTACATTTAACACCTTTTGTGAGGATTATGTTAAGAATTTAGACTGAATCAGGTCATATGTGAAGTATATGCCACACTTATTGATTTTTTAAAATAATAATATCCTTTTTTAGTGATCTAATTTACATTTTGTCTTCTTTATCTTAATAGCAAAATGTAATTGGGATGTATGGTGCCTATAAACAAATCAAATTCATATGACATGCCTAACAATTAAATCATATTTGAACTAGAGAGAAAACATAGCACAAAAACTTGAAGAAACCATTCGTGAAGATCTCAGTTTAAAAAAAAAAAAATCACAAACAAACAAAATAAAACAAAATCAAGAAACGTTACGTAGTAAAAATTCAACATATTGGCAATATCTTCACTGATATGTGATATCACTAATCAACAATAAAATAATGTATGGGATGGTGAATCTAATTATTCAAATATAACAACTTGATCTTAAATAATTCAGTTACTACATCTACATAGTGAGTGTGTTTTTTTTTTTTTTTTTTTTTTTTTTTTTTTTTGTGGATAATTAAGTAATCGGAAATTCTAGACTAAACATTGCAGACCTCACCCAAGGTTTAACCAGAGTCCGGATCGTTTGCCGGGGTTTCTTGCGGTGGCTCCTACTGCAGTCCCAAACGACGTCGTTTTGGACTTTTTTTTTTTCTTTCAAATTTATGTTTTCTTCTTTTCATCTCTTTTCTTCTCTGTCTAAGCTTTGAATCATAGGATTCAAAGCACCTCACGAACGGATGAACAAAGAGACGAAGTTGCCGCTGACGATCAGATAGCTAGGCAACAACAACGGCAACGATGAGGCAACAACGATAAAGGCGGAGACACACCTGAAATCCAAATATAAAAATATGAAAAAAATTGAATCAATTTCCATGGAAAGTAAACAAAAAAGCATGGAACTTCAATTTTCAATTGTAGAAAAGAAAAGAAAAAAAATGATCATGGGTTTAGTTAACTTCAACATTTTTTGGTTCTTGAGGATCATAGAAAACATAAAGAAAGATGGGTTTTTTTTGGGTTTGTAGAAACAATCAAAGAGGAGAGAGAAAAGCAAGAAGGAAAGTAAATGAAAAGACAGAGACACCAATATTCATTATTCTTTGTTCCTTGTTGCTCCTTCT